CACCATTTAAGTGAGATCAACAAAGTAAATCTATTAATGGAGTATTGTAATTCCTGAGGTACTGGAATGACAGTACTCCAATAATAAATGGTAATTTGTTAATTTCACTTTAATGGTGTGCTGGTGACATCCTTTTGCAATCCTGCAAGGGAAAGACGCTCCCTTCGGAGCCTGCTGGGAGCCCGCACTGTGCCTAGAGCTGTCACCCACCATAAGGCTTACATATGAATGGGCGGCAGTATATACATATCAATATGCTGTGACTCATTTATATGTAAATATCACGGCTAATTGATATACAAATCAAAATTGCTGATCAGTGAAAATACCTCAGTTACATTGCTGGTCAGTGTATATGCTCTGTTACATTTCTGGTCATTGTATATACCTCAATTACATTGCTGGTCAGTGTATATACCTCAGTTACATTGATGCGCAGTATAAATACTTCCATTACATTGCTGGTCAGTGTATATACTTCTGTCGCATTGTGATCAGTGTATATACCTCCATTACATTGCTGGTAAGTGCAAATACCTCAGTTACATTGTTGGTCAATGTATATACCTCCATCACATTGCCGGTCAGAGTATATACCTCTGTTACATTGCCGGTCAGTGTATATACCTCTGTTACATTGCCGGTCAGTGTATATACCTCTGTTTCTTGGCTGGTCAGTGTATATACCTCTGTTTCTTGGCTGGTCAGTGTATATACCTTTGTTACATTGCTTGTCAGTGTATATACATCAGTTACATTGGTGGTCAGTGAGAATACCTCTGTTACATTGACGGTCAGTGTAAGGCCTCCTATTTTATTACACAGAATTTTGCCACCATCAACCCATCAGCAGCCACCATGGATGTAGCAGGATTTATCAGGACACATGATTTTCGCTATATATTGTATATAAAATGTGTTTGCAGTGTAATTGGTCGATTCTACAATTGACGATTTTGCAAGCAAAAAAGCATGGAAAGTCATTGTGAATGTGACTTGCAGCCTGGGACTCCACCCTGTCTGATAGTCACTGTTCTCTGCAGGTTTGTAATCACTCAGTTATCGATCAATAGAGCAGTGTCACACGTCAGCTCTAATTATAGGGGTGAGTGCATTTCGCTCTCCGCATAGTTCTTCTTTAAGTTTACCATTTGTTACATAAGGTACCAATGAAACTTTTTTCTTCTCTTTTTTTTCTTCTTTTCTTCTTTTTTTTTTTGAAAATTACGTTTTAATCATTTGTGGAGCTAAAAGGTAAAGCTGTCTCTTGTCTGAAAATCCTGCCTAGGCAGAACAGCTGAGTAGTTTCAGAGCCGTAATACTGCACGTATTAAGAGTTAAGACTTTCCTTCCCATGATGATCTCCCCAAGCAGAACACAGATGTTGTATCCCAAAGGAGCAGGTCCTGCCACATATTGCGGATGTAGAATGTCCCAAGGGAGTCATAGTGACCCTAACTGTGGTCAGACACTTGTGTAAATATTCAGTGCTGCAGCCTGCGACATGCAGTACTATGAAAAACGGCACTATGGGCTTAGCTGGAGTCTGGCCAGATGGACGGCTGGCAGAACAGGGTTTTCTAATAAGAATATTTACTCTCTTCCTGAGAATGAGCACTGCTTTCTATGATCATAGTAATGGAAAGCCTCACATGTACACAAACTCACTACTATACTAAATTTATTATATACAAACTTAGATGCTAAACAAGAGGCGCTCTTCCTGTTGAGGTTCCATTAAAGCTAAGGGAGATGTGCAGTATATATAAAAAAAAATCTCAAATATGTTTAAAGAAATGTAAAATGGCAAATGAACAATATGGAGCATTGCCATAGCTGACTGTGTTCAAATCCAAGAAAGAGTGATGTTGTTTAGAAAACAGTCAACAGATTGTGCTCTCCTGCAGTATTATAGATGTACAGTCCAAATACAGTGCAAAGACCAAATATATTTACTTATAAATAATTTACGATGATTTCTACTAAAACCCTGAAGTGTATAAACTTTTGAGATGTAGGATCGAGTGATATTAAAAAGTAAGGCTATATCTTTTATTAAACAAACCAGCTAACAGAAAACATGCAGGTTAAACAAATGCCATTGGGCCCCATGTGATTCATAAATTATATCAAAATATACTGCGTGAAATGCTAGACATGAAAGATTGTTGTTCACTGTCAAATGTACCGGAATTATTGTCAACTGCAATTAGATGAGTCATTCAGTATAGACATCCAGATTGGAAATAATAATTCCTGGGGTACCTATGACACAATTGTGCAATCTTTATATCTTACTTAAGACAACTTATGTCCATAATGATATTTTATAGGTGGGTATCATATCGTTAATAACACATCTTGAAATCCCATTATTGTGTGTGTGTGTGTGTGTGTGTGTGTGTATGTGTATATATACACATATATATATATATATATGAAATTGAAATAGTCTTCCTGCCACATGAAAAAACAAATCCACGCCAGTGCTGTATATATCCCAACAAACTAGTGGTATAAGTTGCACTACCCAGTGTTCATGAGCCTAATAACAGAAGTTTGTCCAGCATCAATAAAACTGCAATACAAGCATATCAGCAGGGACAAATGTAATGCTCAATCCTGTCCAACAGACAATGAAGAAGCTTTACATATGTAACAAACAGCCCCCATTTGTTATGAAGGACTCCTAACCACACCGTTGAGCGATCCCCCCATTTGACATCCCCCCATTTGACAAGAGAGGAAGAGCAGCCATGGATCATAACCAGGTCCATACACTACACACATACTGTCAACATGGGTTACCTCCTTGAAGTAGTACATCCCCCAATTTTTTAGATGTATATCAAAACTGATTTCAACTCCTATTGGTTCAGTTCTACCGCATGTCTATCAATTCTATTATACTACGATATCCTGCTAAAGCTGATTCAGGGACAAATACAATCCCAGCAACACCATCTCTTCAGGGATGATGACATAATTTATAGTGATCCCAGTAAACTATGTGGCTCCTTTATACATGCTATATTTGCATTAGAATTTAGCAGTGGTTGAGTAACCAAGATTGCAGCCATATGACCTATGTTGGTCTAGTAGAATGAAAGACAATAAAAAAAAAGATATTTTCATCTTTCTTTCTCACACCTGTGGGCAGCAGACAGGGGGAATGCCTCACCCAGCAAGGAACATACTCTACGTCACTGTACATATTCATGTAAAGTTGATCTAAACCCTAACAAATGACATTTAGTTCACTTAATCACCATGTATCATAAACAGTTACCATGTAGAAAATATATTTTTCCTATGTTTCATCCTCTTGTGCATATCCGTGCTACTGGTTTCCTCCATTCTCTTTGTAGCACTTCCTGTTTACATGCACATGCTCCAGTGGCAGTTTGCAGATGATGACAATAATGGAACACACCTACACAATAGGTGTTGGCATGGCTACTTATAGTCTCCGCTGGAAACAAATGTGACAGGGTGGCAATGCAGGAGAGAAATTGGGAGACGGGGAAAAGCATGGTCACCCCATACCAGGAAACGCATGTTACAGGTTCTTCATGGCAGGATTACCAAGTATTATTTTAATGAAGGCTCGAATTTAAGAAAAGATTGATAATGGCTTTTGAAATTACATAAGCACGTTAAAGATTACAGGAGGTTTTAGTAACTGGGTTTAGATCTACTTTAAAGTAAATATTAAAAGAGAATTAAAGTCAAACTTTTTGGCGGCATTAGTCCTCTTTTGGGTCAAAGAAGAACATTTACAAATTATTATACAGGATTTATTATACAGGATTTATATAGCGCCAATAGTTTGCACAGCGCTTTACAATATAAGGAAGACATTACAGTCACAATACAATTCAAGACAAGATGGTAAGGAGCGCCCTGCCCGTGAGGGCTTACAATCTAAATGTACTTCTGTGACCCAAAGTCGGCATGTAGCAGACTACTGCCCACTATATGCTGACAGCACAGAGCCGCACTGCAGCCAGCAAATATCTTGACAGTATTGTTGGGATCCACCCCACTGCCTAATTGACAGCCTCTCTAGAGCCAAAGCCAGCTGTGCCTGCCCCCTCCCCTGTCTGTCACTCCAATGTAGGAACAGAGAGACTGGAGGGAGGAATCTCTGTGGGGATTTGTGACTGACAATTACCACTCACAGCAGGAAGAAGCCTTAAGCTGATCGATCAGCGGTTCATGATCACTCAGTTCTCTATCTATACAGCCGGCATGTGACAGCTGCAGTGTCACACACTGGCTCTAAGTATTGGTAAGAGTACATTTTTCTCTCCCAATATGTCTCCTTTAATATGGATTTAGGAGCTACGTATGGTTACAGTTTTTCTTCTACTACAAGTGTTATCCACTGACAAGGTTATGGCATCATATTCCCACATAAATAAACACATTTCAAAGCTGTTTTTTACTTTCTCAGCAATAACCTAGTAAGAGCCTCACCTTTGTGACAAGTGTTATCCCACTGAGAACAGCAGAAAAAATGTAACTATTTCATTGTTAAAGCCAATTTCCACCTTTTGTAGAGATATTACAAAAAAAACATATGCCAGCAATGTACACCAAATGCACACAAAGCAGGCATATGCAGTTACTGTATATTAACACAGAAACTTATGTTTTTTGTCAGCTTTCCTCTTCATATCCTCATGGAAATGCCTCTGTTTTGCAAGCTCTCTCTGAGCTCTCCACACCCCATTCATTAGTATTCATAGTGGCTACCCCACCCAGACAGTATATTGTGTGCAAAGGCAGAGCTGGTGATTATTGATCGTGTTACACAGAATCAGGGGCAGCTGTTTACAGCCTGCTTTACAATCCGACCGTGGTGTCAGATCGAGTTTCCTGTGGAGAAAATTTGAAATTTGTAGGATTCAGGCCTAATAAAAAGTTAATAAAAAAATTAGGAAAGCCTGCATCAGTGCACCTCTATGTTACCACAATAAATGCTAATCACTTACAAAGATGGAAATGGACTTTGAAGTGATTATAAAGCATCTTTATATATTTTAAGGTAACCCTTAAGCTGACGTAGGTACTTTGGACGTGGGAGTCTTTCTTGAGCCTAACCAGAAATAACAGAGGTGTATTTATACTGGAACACCCCCCCCCCACACACTAAATGTTTATATAATTTGCCAATTTGTTCTTTCACTTGTTTACATGTGGAAGACAGAAGAATGGAACAATACCTTTGTAAGAGCACAAACAACCTTAGAATATATTGTTCCTCTTTAATACACCCAGCTTGTTTATCAGCTGCTTTAGTACTGCTATACAATTTTAATTTATGTCTATTGAATAACAGTAATGGATTTTATCAGCAGGTCAATCTACTGTTTCTCTTGCACGCTGTGTAGACTGCGGAAATCATTCTGCATTTATGGTCAAAAGAAGTCTTACCAGCTTGCCATGGAAGCATCAACTTCTCATCTGGAATGTCAATATATGTGAAAGAAATGTGATAGATTTTCCTTTCTATAATTAATAATATGGCCTTATATCCAAGAAGAGACGTGCTTCCATAGTAAGGGACACCATGGCTAAGAGTATCAATATTGCTTCTGATCAATTGTAAGAAAGGAATTGCTGTTATGTTATATAAAATGTGAGCTTACACTAATTGAAAGAAACATGAAACAATCAACACACATATCTGCTCCTGATATATGATTGTCTGTGTGTATACAGCATCCATACTAAATTATCATGTAACCTTCTGCACACTGCTATACAACCTTACATACTTCTAGCAAACATTTGCATAGAAACAGGGATTCACTGCATATATTGTAATACATCATAGTACAGCTGCCATAGGCAGGAGGAGAGAATGGAAGGCAAAACAGCGATGCTGCAGGGGCCTCTCTAGCTTATTACACAAGGAAACATCCATGGCCCCACCACCAGCATCTGGAGATATCAGATAATACACTTTTTTTCAGTATAAAGTGTTTGAATGTTATCGTGTTTATTCTATTATTTATGGAATGGGTTTCAGCCTTGCGTGTGAATAAAATAAAGTATTTATGGGTGTTATTGTAACTTTTCAGAAAGCATACCTTCTGTTCAACCTACATTTTTTTTATGTTTGAGTAAAATTCAAAATATCAGAACAAACTGAGTATTTTGTATATCTCTTTAATGGATATATAAACCTGTCTGTGACTTTACAGAGCTCACAGATGTATTGTTTTTTTGCTGTAATAAATGTCAGCAATGTTTTATAGCTTTAGGGATAAAACACAACACTTATGAGCGTTACTGTAACTTACAGGTCTTAAACCTCCTACTCAGTTATCAGTCATTGTTTTTAGAGTGGCTTACTGAGGTCTATGTTTCTGTATCTACTTGTTATTTGTGTCAGGTTTGATAGGGATTTTCACTTTACTAAAATATATTAATTGGTTATACAAAATTAAAGTGTGTTTGCCAGTCAATTATAAAAGCTGATTGCAGGGAAGTTAAAGTATAATTAAAGCCTCTGTTTTTTTTTTTCATATATCTACTGCTAGCAAGCAGTAGATATATGCAAAAAGTGTAAAAAAAGAAAAAACGCTTTAAAAGTGGTTTAAGCTTACCGGTGTCTTCCCGGCGTGCTCCTGTCCGAATATGTGAAAATTCTCAGGCGGCCGCAAAGCATTTTGGGGCGGGCGCATGCGCAGTTCACATTTTCGGCCGAGAGACATTTTCTGGTAAACTTCATATTCTGAGTCAGCCAGTAAAGTACTAAACTCAGTAAATAGAATTCATTATCTACATCATTCATTAAGATTACTACAGAACTTTGACATTTTTGTTTTTAAATTCTATATAGGGTGGTATATAGATGTTTTTAGTTAGGTTGTTCAGTGTTAACCACCAATTTATGTATTTGCCCATACCTCCTGAGATTTAATCTGTATGGACAGTATGACAACCTACTGAGCTGATGATATCCACAGGCAGGGTCCAACTCACCAAGAAGACTCAGAGTAGAATCCAATGTAGTTTATTTAGGCTTGACAACACACAGGATGTGATTCCTTGACATTTCTTGGAAGTGGACAGACATTTCTTTCTAAAGCCTTGTAGCACATGTATAGATCCTTCTTAACATAGTGAGGAAGAGAGTAAAATTAAATAGGAAGTTGAGGTAGGGAGTGTCTAAGGTCTCTACCGATATGCACAAAACATTGGTGGTAATATGATAAACAATAACAAAACAGACTGCTTGTGGCAGCACACGGGTTAATGAAAATATATAGCTGTAGGAGGTTAATTATTAGACCACCAAATCTGTACCAAAACCCCCCTTGCTCAGAAACAGTAGGAAGGCTGTAAGTATGGCCAGGCTATCCTTGTAGTACTAAGTGCAACAACAGCCCTGTAACTGTATGGAATTGTACAGTAGCATTTCTAACACTACTTACATACAAAGATATCCAAAGTTTACTGAACTGAAAACCTAACTCTATCTAATTGCCTTTAGATATACAGTACAAGAAATACAGCTAGGTCAACTCCCTTCCCCCAGCCAGTGCCTGGAAATTAAATGAGCATCTGTGCACGGAAGAGCTCATTGCTCTGCTGGCTATGCTCTCTCATTCTGTCCACACATGTGCACTACAGCACACCTGATTGGTCCTCAGTGCTGCCCATCTATCTCTCCCAAACTGTGTTGTACTGTAGTGTATAGGACATAACAAGATGCTGATACCAATATAAATGCACCTGCTTACCACATTTGTGTTTATTATTACAATATATAGTGGATTTATAGCCTTATTAGTTTGCCTTTTTTATATAGCTGCCTGGAGTAGTTACTGCTTGGAGAAAAGTTACTTAATTTCCATTATCTTTATTTTTTTGCAGGTCAATATTGACCACTTCACCAGAGCAGTGACAATGAAGAATTTGGTGGAACCATCATTCTCCAGCCTTGATTTGGCCCAGAAGAAGATTTTTGCTCTTATGGAGAAAGACTCACTGCCCAGATTCATCCGCTCAGAGATCTACCAAGAATTAGTGAAATAGCAGCATGGCAGAGCTGTGCAGAGCTCCCCAGCATGCAATGGCTTCCATATACCGATGTGTTGGTCGGTAGTTTCTGCAGCTGTTTACTCTAATGGCCTCTTTTAGTGACAATGTTATTGCCAAAATGTCCTGTGTTATACACATCATACAGCAGAAAAACAATATTCCTGGCATGTCAATTAAGAAAGAGTCATGCTATATAAACTATACTTAATGTTAAAGAAGATAAAACCCTTCAGATCCCACTAATTATACAATGATTGCCTTGTATTGTATCTTAGTACCATATGTAAGGTCTAATTCGTTCCCTTTCCCTTTTCCTAAATGCCTTGTATAACACTGATTAATAGATACCTGTGAAAAGCTTTATTTTTTGAAGGATTTTTCTTAGGAACTAAAAAACGATATAAAGTAACATGGATTAAATAGTAAAGTGACATACATTAGTAGTATATGATAGTATAGTATATGAATAATTAGTTAATCGAAGAATGTAAACAATGTTAATTAATAACACCTAAATGAGAGCCAAGGCCAACATTTGTTAGATTACATTACTGATCAACTAATCCAATTGTTTTATTTCACAATTTAGTTCATTATTTCTAGTGATCATTTTTCACTGCAATTAAAATTTGGGGTGAGCAAAAGTGGAGGAAATGTTAATTTCATCTAAGCACTTAATTTGTTGTTTATTAACATTGTAAATTACAATAAGAACAGCTGGGACCTGAATGGTTGTTGTGTTCCCTAACTTTTAAAAAAATTGAGAGTAGACATCTTACACAACAGTAAATTCAGAAGCCCTTTGGTTTCTCCTAGCACCTTAATTTATTTGAGATTCCATTATGATCTGAGATGACTGACCATAAAGAACAATGAATACATTCTGTTGTGTCCTTCTTGCTTGGTTGCAGTAGTAGTAATGCTATTATACATTTGTTCTAAATCATTAGTCTTCCCTATATTAACAAGCCCTTGACCTGCACAGACTGTCACAGTAAGTTATTTTTCTGAAGGCGATACTTACCTAAACAGGGCCGTAAGGAAGGCACTCCTAGCCCCTGGATAAGTATAGGCAACAGTGGCATATGGGAAGGTTTTGGGAATGGGTTGAAAAGCTTACAGAAAGGTTTGATGGACAATTGGGTCAGATGCACAGGGTAAACAAACTTTTTCAGTAAGAGATGACAGCATATGTGGAATGGTTTTTGGACTTTTGGGATCCAGTGGGCTTATAGGTCACATTCAACATGTAAGTGTTCTATAATGGAAGTGAGAACGAGGATATAGGGATGTCTATTCCAGGAGGCTGACTATTAATTTGATACCTGGGGCTGCAAAAACTTAGGTAAGATATTGCAGATAGGAAAAATATGCTTTTGTATGTACCTATACTTTGCTATATTTGCTAAAATAAACTTCCCAAAATGTACCTGTCCTTGACCTTTTTGTGCTATATGCACACAATTACTTCTTCTCTCTTAGGTCAGTGGTAAAGGTCAGGTGGCCTAAAAAATAAAAATAAAATGAATAATGGAGGCATTGTCCACAGCAGCCAATCTTCTTCTAGATCAGTTTAGAGACTGAAAGTAAACATCCAATGATGACTGTTATGGACAATACAGTTGATTTTTGACTGCTTAATAAATCTGACCCCCAGTCTCCAGGACAAATAATTAGCAGACTATACTCCCTAGTTTTGATGTGTAAAAAGTGAAGAAGGTCCTATGGAGACATTACAAGGTCCAATAACTATATTAATAATCTTCCTTATTAAGAGGTAAGATCAGAGTGCATTCCAAAAGCCCGAGACAACTAAGCATTAGTATCTATCTCTGTACTGTAGAGAATGTTCTGGTTGGTCAGTGTCATAAACCACATACTTTATCCTGTCTTCTGAGATATTATAGGAACTCAAGCTAAATGTACAATGTCAGCTATTCAATCTAAATATGTTTAAACAAAATACAGACTGTATGTTTCAGTTACTTGATGGATCCTTTCTGTAAGACAGGCAAAGGGCTTGGTCATATTTTAGTATGCAATCTTCTATGGAAGCAATGGAAATGCTGCTTAGGTTGTCATCCTTTAAAACAGACTAATACATACAATTCCTTTAGAAGTCACTGTTTAGGGCTGGGGTTGGTTTGGTGAGATGAAGGGAAATCTCTTAGTTCAGTTTTGCTTTGAGAAAACAATGATATTGAGCACACTAGCAATCTGAATTCTTTGTAAGCTGAGAACAACCTTCTTTTTTTTTTTAACAGCCATTATGGAAGTTCAGCTATGCTACGAAAAAAGACTATTCACTCCCATAATTGTAATTTTTAGTAATACTACACATACATATATACATGTATGTGTGTGTGTGTGTGTGTGTGTGTGTGTGTGTGTGTGTGTGTGTGTGCGTAATATAAAAACCTCCGCCTACATTGCACATAGCTGACCAAACTTTATATCTTTAATGCTGAATTCAGTAATTTAGCAGAAATTCTTTTTTCAATCAATGTTAAACAATTGCAGTTTTTTTTTTTTTATACAAACATATATAACATAACTAATCATTTATAATCGCAGGAGTAGGTGAACCAGGACTGCACTGGTTCAACTCATTAACACCTGCAATCCAAAAAGCCTCACATAATAAAACAAATGTGAGCATGAAATTGCCTTTAAAACAAAACAAAAAAACATAATTTGCTGTGGTACTGCTATAGGGAATATACAGGCAATGCTGTGCTCCCAGTACCATGGGCCCTGTAGTGGTTGCTAGGCCTTCTACCCTATTAAAAGGTTTTCTGTGACAATATTTTTAACACACAAGCAAGTGATAGTGGGACATCTGTGTAATTTGCATTATCCTCCAATGAAGTTCATGAAAAAGTATCTACTTGTTATCACTGATACAGGACAAATTGGCAATAACATAGCACAGTGCCATTATGCTAATGCTTTTGCTTAAACTTGGGTTATGGGACTTCTGCACAGCTCAGTAACCCATGAAATGAGTCTCTGTGTCTTTTGATCTTGTTTATTTTTGCTGCAAGATATATGTTGTACTCTTGCTTTATAGGAGAATTCTGTTAATATCCTGTGCAAGTTCCAGAATAAACCTTTGAGATGTATGTATGAGGATGAACCTCCCCTGTACTGCAGAACAAGAGTCCTCCTAAAAAAAACCAGTAAAACACTTTGGAATCATATGGTCTTCAATTGATTAGATGGTCTGTCATTTATTTCTGAGCACTATGTTTTTGAGAAGGAGAACATTACATGTATTAGGAGATAGTGAGTTTTACAAAGTGGTTTCCAGTGAAATGTTGCTCATAGTGAAATTGTAGCCTAACCGGTGATAGGCCATTGTTCAAAAGTGTGTTTCTCCCATATTTGTCAATCAAGAAAGTCTCTGATTTTTTTTTTTTTAAATATCATTAGGTAGAGATGATGGAACCAGTTGTTGAGTCCACAAAATTGCTCCTGAGTTGGAAAGGATGAATTATTCATACAAGTTTTTAATATGTGAACTCTTCGTGAAATATGTGAATGGTATTTCAGCAGTGGGATGTATACCTATATATCCAGATGAATGAAACAATCTATAAAAACTGCAGAAAAAAAGTGTTGTCTACAGTAACCAGTCAGAGGCTCCCTTTCATTTTTGTTAACCTGCAGGAAAATACTTTTGGAATATAATTGGCTCTCATACACGATACCTTGTGTGGTTTTGGTTAAAAGGATAAGTTTTAGGTGAACTGGAAACAGACAGAATAACTCTCCTGCCAGCCAGCATGAGACATCTGTCACAAGGGGTGAAGAATATGATTTCAGAGTGCAATGAAATGAGATCTGAGGGAATAATGGAACACTCAGAAGGAGCCAATTGTATTAATATTTTCATTTAAAATACATGTGCCCAAATATAATTTATTTCATACACAAAATATTCAACTGTCGACATGAGCTCTATCTGCTTAATATAATTGCCAGCATCCTTGTTTATTGTTTTCCAGCAACCTATACTGGTCTAAGGTATACAAATTAGAGGAAAAGAAACTAAATCCGAAAATGTAATTTAATATCCTACACTAGAAGAACAACAGAGAGTCTGATTGGTTGCTGTTGGCAACACTTCTACTGTTCCCGTTACCCCTTTTTTATTGTTAACATCAGCTTCTAAAATTTATCCTGTGAACATATTATCTGGGTGTTGTACCTAGATAGGTTGTATAGCCATTTTTAATCTGTACCTTTTTTGCAGATAAAATGCAAAAACTTGACCGCGTGAATGAGAAAAAACCTAAAGCATCAGAGATGTCCATAGCAACAGTAGCTTCAATAAGGAATACACATATCTGACTGATTGCTAATGGAACACTTTTGCACTTAAACCCTCTTGAAACATGGTAAACAGTTATTGGAGCCTCGCTACTTATTCTGAATGTGATAGCTCAGATAGAGCCTTTAAGCTGATTGCAGGACACTCATTTTATTTTCTTTAGATTAATGTAAAATGGGGTTTTAATTGTTGATGCAACATTTTGTTCCCCAGAAATATAGGGTTCTGTCTAAAATCCAATAGAAAAAGCATATTTGATGATTTAGAGACCTAAGAATTTATTGCACACTCCCATCTTAGAAAATGATCTTGAGTGGTTACAGCATCTCCTACATAATATATGTTTGCAGCTTTATCACCTTGCTTAACCTCTGATTCTTACGTCATATGCATGAATATTTCTCCAGTATATACATTATCTGCACTTAGGTGAGGATAATAATGTGCTTGTAGACTTCCTTGCAACAGTTTCATTGATTACATCACTGGGACAGCCAGAGGCAAGTGTTTTATAATGTGGATTCATCTTGAGAAGCTGATTAGCTGTACACCTACATAGCTTGCTAATGTGATGGATAATTTCTTTGGAAAAATGAATTTGCTTTCAAATATTGATATTGCTTTATTAAAATTGTGAATGTTCCATCACACTGAATGTATTTCATCTTGCATGTCCTGTAAAATTGGATATAGGAATGTAAGAAACTCTTTTTTTTGCTCTTTAGCCAAAAAATAACTAATTAAGAGATACAATACAGGAGGACCAAGTAATTACAATACAGGAGGACCAATACAATGCTTCATAGTTATAAATACCTCCCCTATGCTCATACTTTTATCAGAGATGGCCGTAGGACAGTTCTGGTTTTCAGATCCCGAAGAGGGTGGAGGCTTTAATATGGAAATATGGTCACTTGAAAATGTTAGTCAACAAAGAAGGGCTCAGAATAAATGTCCTACGTTCAGAAATTCTGATATTGGCAGGCATGACATATAGTCATATACACACACAAGTATATGAGTTGCTCCATGCCACAATTACAGGAATTGAATGTGCCTTTAGCAATGTGGCTCTGCAAGGGCTTTTAAGAACATTGTTTTAGGTTATTTTAGGTGTGTCCAAGCAAACCCGAAAGAGAAACATGTTGGCTGCTTCTTCTGGAAATTCTAGGTGCCAGGCTGTCATGTTGTTGACCCTTGCAAATATACAGACATGGACTTTTAATTGTTCTCAGACTCTCATAATCTGCATGCATGTTCTGGATCAGTGACAAAAAGCATTAAAGCTAATGGACCAGCATGGCAGCCATGTGGCAATTCTCATTTTCAGAGGTGAGTCACCAATGGCCATCCCCTTATTTTTTTCTTCACCGATTTGACTTACGTATAAAATTTCTATTTATAGCACAATTGTGCACTGCAAATAAGATTCACATAAAAATGGCATTGATATAGACTAGAGCTGGATTGGCAGGTCAGGATTGGGATTTTGATGTTGCTCATTTACTGTGTCAGAGGTGGACACTCGTGTTCAACATTTAGAAACACATTGGATGATTTAATATCCAAAAGTCTGGCTGTTTGCAGGGTAACCAGGAAAGAACTAGATCCACAATTCTAAGAACATAAATTAAAATTAGGCGCCAGCTGTAAAATGTCTAGACTCCAGGGATTTGCTCAGTCTTGTTTTAGTCTTCCCACAGAGGATCAGTGAAATCCATCTTTTTCAGGTTTTATTTATCATTCAGACCAACAAGTGAACATTATTATCGGAGTGGGTGCGTGTGTCCTTTTGAGAGATTTGGCTACATTTAGGAGAAGATATAAACATAGCGATGACGTGCAGCATCAGCGTAAAAGTCAGTTGTAAGAACCAGAGCAGAGCGTGTGTACTCTGTCGCTACACTTCTCAGTAGGAAGCACTGCCAGCTAGTTTCTTGGATAACAAAATGTTCCCCTCAAAATATCTGTCCATAAGAATACCTAAAAAGGTCACAGAAAGGAGTCCATGTTATGTTTTTTCCTGTTGCTACACAACCACTAAGCATCTAGGAACCAGGAACGAGCAGCTAGCTTGTGCAACATTGTAAAGAGTCAGTAGAATTTGTATAGTCTTGTGATTGGCAAA